TTAACACTTCTGGACATCCTTTCAAACACCTACTCAAGCTTAGTTCGAATAATAACCTAAGGGGTAACACCCAGAAACTGGAAACTCAACATAGCAAGACGGGATGTAGACACAACTTCTACTCCTTAAGGATTGTCAAAAGCTGGAATTCGCTGCCGGCCGAGCTAGTCCAAGCGACTTCTCAGGAGTCCTTCAAGAGGCAACTTGACCTATTCTTAAGGACCAAGGACAGTATCACACTATGATTTACCAATTTCTTTTCCTCTTTTATTGTAAGCATATTTAGGTTCCTGCCTGGAGGATTTGGTGATCCCCTGCTACTAGACACGGAAGTCTGTTAAGCGAAAGCTTCTTCTATTCCGTCCATAACCATTTGAACCATATTTCAAGTTCACTGTATGAGTGTCACAGCGGGAAAAGATTTTTTGACTCTATGTTTCACGCATAATTTCAAGATAGTTAAAATATCGATTTATTTCATGACCATGATCAGAGGAAAATTCTATAAGCCCTACGAACCTTATATAGCCTGACAAACCAATCTGACTTCCGTTCAATAAACCAGAGCTATTACCTACTGGCCATCTTCACATCATATCATTAAAATCACCCGATGAGAACACAGTTCCACAAACTACTTCCTGTTCTGAATAAGTCGACGTTAGATTTTATATTACAGCTCCAGACACAGGCTTCTAGGTATTAGTCCGTGCACAACGACATACCGAAATTCTCAACCGCTTAATTGTTGTAAAAATGACTCTAACTCAGACTAGCAACTTATATAAAAAATTAATTTTCAAACCAATAAATGTTTCCTTATGACATAAGGGGATTTTAAAAATGGTTCTAAAGTTGTCTTGAAGCACACTCTGTCGTATCATTGGATGTAGATAAACCTATTACACTAGGGTCACCTCAGATTTCTTTCAGTAGTAGACATACCACTCTATTCGAATAAAGTAATTCAAAAAACACTTACAACTTGTCTTTGGATAATAAACCCTGTTTTTTATGTAATGGATTGACAGTCATCTAGTACTACCTGTGAAAGTACTTACCACTTAGTACAGATGTTATTAACTGATGCATACATTATTCATTTACTTCTGGTTGGTGGTGATAGTATCGGATAGATTTTCTCCAAAATGAATCTGTTGTTTTTTATATGGATGACCTTCAAAGTCTAAAGCATTGCGCTCACTGGTACACTGTCCATCAGTTACTTGGATGGTTCATTACAAAGAGAAGGGAATCAGTGTGTGACTGTTTCTACCATGGTTAGTGAATACAACCCACCTGTGTCAACAAATGAATTTTTCACTTTCATCATTTCGAACAGTATATAAAGGATTTTGGCTGCTCATTATGCATTAACATGTGCACCTGACAACGTTTTATAAGTGCAGCTAGTCAAACTGAAATAAAGACATTTGGAGAACAGTCACTCATTCCTGATATCGTTTATGAAGTCATATCAGTCTGTTGTTCGTAACAGTTAACATTAGCCATGTCAATTGGAATGCACCCTTCATAAGTGAATATTATTTTATGGTGGACGGAAGCAACAACGTTTATTGACACCTGAACTATTGGTGAGACTAATAGCATAGGATAAGAACAGAGAAATAGAGGCCATGATGAACAAAAGAAGCTATTTTTAGGATATTATTTCACTTAATCCAAAAGCTGAAATATGCTACTGTTTAGTATCATCCGTGATTTATTCTATGAACCACAAGCTTTTGCTTAATGCCTTACCCTGTTCTATTCCAAAGTTACTGTAATCTAGAAGTCCCTTTTTGTAATTAACATCACTATTCTACAGTTCAATTTGGACATAGGTATGGATTTGTAATTGTTTATAAATTATGATCATGATAAACATCTATTGATTAATATATCTTCTCACACTAATCCGAACCAGTACAATAACGAGTATTGTTCCAGTTGACTCGTCTTCTCTTTCTCTCTTATCAACCAATCAGATTATAAAGTAGTTTTCATCTCTCCGGTGTTGGTCCGTCTGTCTTGATTTGAACTCACACGTTTCTAGCCTCTAGATTGAACTGTTTGGTCTATTATGTCAGCGCCTTAATCTAGACCGAGGAAATTTTTCTCCGGTATATTATTGGGCGAACGGACAAAGGACGTTGCAGTATCCATTCGAACTACTATACACTTGAACCTAGAACGAACACTATTTTGAGTAATGTTTCCCTCAGCAATGTCCAACAGTACTCAAAACAAGCTAAAACATTCTGTTTCGTAGACAATGCATAACGCCAAGTATTTCGCCATACTAACGGTATTATACGGGGACAAAAACATGACATTGGTTTGTTTTTCATTAGTTTGTGATACATAAAGTCATTTTAAAAAGTACTCACATTAGTTGTACCTGGTGGTTGTGAAAGAGCAATTTCGTAATGTTGTATATCATGATTGGCAGCAAAATCCGACCTGAGGCCTGCTTGCCGAGCTTCCGGATATTAAAGGAAACCTCGCTAGTCGACTTGGGCGGTCGACGGGGTTCGACTAATCCATCACTCTGTTACACACTGGATTACTCGAGCACCTAACCACATCCCGCTACCTCATATGTATACTCATGTACATAAGTTGCAGAAGTCCCCGGACTTACATAGTCCATTTCTGTAGGTATTTGCAAAAGGTGCCCATTTGGTGTCATACAATAGAAAAGTTAGCGTAAAAGTTGTGTAAGAGACAGTGTACTGTACACAATAACGTTTCAACGAGTGAGGTGGACATCTTTTGCACTAAGTAGTTAAATATGCATATATGTATTTTGTGGGATGCACGGACTAAATCCTGTGTGCTGCTGGTATGCATGCAACGTAGATTTGCTCACAGAGTAGGTACATTAGCATGTGTACAAAGGGGTATGCAGATGAATGTTCGCATGCTACTTAGTATGCACACAGACCATACCATTCAGGGTAAGCAAAAACATCAAAACATCATTTGCTTATTCTGCTTGGTATGAAAACTACACTCAGTGATCTGCGGAACAGCGGTTCCCGACTAAATCACATTCACGCGATGGGTCTGTGAGCTCCAAAAACGCGGAATCCGTTCAGGACGTTCGGACCAGTAGCTGGCAGTACTCGGGATGCCTTCGTTTCGCAACGAAAGAAAAACAGGAATGAGGGGCAGAGAAGACCTGTAGCTGCGATCTTGCCAGTAAATTACGTTTACAACTAAGAAATTATCAATTTTGATTAGTCCATATGATCTTCAGCAAGATTGTGTTACACCATGAAGTGTCTACAGGAAGCTGTCTGCTGATATCAATTTTGACAGTCGCATGCTTGAAGGATTATACTGCTGTACTTGTCTCGGATACACTCATATCCTGATTCTAGGAGACTTCAAACTTTCTAAAGTCAACCTTCGCCGAACATATGCACACAGGAGGTGAAAACTTTACTGAAGCTCGGTCCATCAACTCCATTGAAGATCGGTATTATTCAGAAATTTCAAATCGGCAACTCGTTGGAGAAACAGTCAGATGCCGTCGCGCTAGTCTCGTGTTTACGAACGAAGAACTCCTAATTGACAACCTGTCGATCCAATCTCCCCGCGGACAATTGACCGCGCTGTCAATGTCTTCAGTTTTATCAACGAAACAGAGGTAAGACATTTTACGAACAACTAGCGGCGGATTTTCGAACAATTAAAAGTGTCAGCTTTACTCGACAATCTACAGCAGGTGCACGGAGTTCACCATCAACGTGATATGGATACTCATTGTGATTTCTTACCTCACACGAGCTTATGTGCTGCAAAGCAGTCTATTTCTAAAGAGGTCCCTAAAATCTACAATCAACATACAGTCACCAGAAATCGTACTCTTCGGTTGTTAAACCACAAAGGTCACTACAGGGCGGAATACAAACGAACTGGTGACGACAGCGTATACGGGAAAGTCAAAAAAGCGAAGAAACAGTGAACGAAGGTAATAGGAGGACTCAGATTTCAATATCAAAAAAACTTACCGATAAACTTATCTCCAATCTGAAAATCTCTTTCCGTAATACGGCCTTTTCTCAACAGGCCAAAACCAAAATTTTTCAATTCTCCTTTCCTTGATTTATATAAATGATCTTCTACATAAGATATCGTCTGATTTATTGTTTTTCGCTGATGCCTTGAACTCTGGAGAGTATACAACGAAAAGGATAAAATAACACTTCGGGGGGATCTCACTCCAACTCGAAGTTGGGCAGATGACAACAAAATCGCCTTTAACACTCAGAAGTGTAAAGTAGTTCATTTGAGACATTTAACAGACTACGTATACAATTTGTGTAACTCACTTGTAGAGGTATCCCAAGTTCAAAACTGTCTTACGCTAACTGCGACAAAAATGCCTTTCGAGAAAACCTCTCACTGATAACATTGAAGCGCATTTGCTACCAGTTCGACGGGAGAACTTTCCACATGATCTTCAACAGTTTTATTCGTCCCCATTTAGAGTATGGAAACATAGTATTTCCCCCCTCACTCTAAAAGGATAAAGACGCTCTAGAACGTATCCAATGGCGAGCCACGAACTTATTTGGGAGACGCGAATTCAAGCCTTATGAATAGTGTTTTCAATCACTGAACCGTTACTATTAGAGTACAGGCGTTTTAGAAGTGACCTGGTAGAATTCGGTTATTATAGGTTCATGAATATCAACATTATGAACTAAATCAGAAATCAGTGGCATCATTAGAAAAGTTGAAAAATTACTAGTGCATATTTTTTGTCCAACTCTGAAGTAGAAAAATATGAAACAGATGGATGAAAGTGAACAGAAGTTTGAGCTAAATTGTAGTCTGACATATATCCCTCCTGATTATGGTTAAAGTGATCCATATTTCAAGAAATAATACAACTGAATAAACAAGGAGTCTTAGGATTGCAGGCGACTTTCTAGCTGTCGCGAAAGTCCATTGCGGTCGTTTGTTTAACAGTATCAAAATAAAATGCAAGTTGACTAAGCGGCAGGTGCGTATCAGTCCCGTTTAATTAGTAATTGGTAAGTCCTCATGTTGTATATATTTACTACATAATATGAAGTCTCTATGGATGTATTGTTTATCTGTGACATCAAATTTGTACATCTCTTTAACCATTAGTCTTATTATATTTTTATGCATAGTTTTCTTCGTAAAGTTTGAGTAATTTCCCCAAACTTTTCTATAGCGGCTTCCCCACAATAGGGAGATTAGGATATAAAGTAAGGTGAAAGCAAATGAAATTAGAAATATTACTTGCCATCTCGTATTTGTTTCTGTTTCTTTTCCATTTCATGTACATTGCTTTCTCCTTTTCTGACGACTTGGATCTCCTGTTTAACTCCTCGGGTTTGCTCTCTTCCTGAATAAAAATAAGATCATGAGTGCTCTTTGCAATCCAGTTAATGAAAGAATATCATATAAAAGTTTTAATAAATATTCAGGGTTAAATACATGCCATTGGCTGAATTAGGTACGATGTTTACCTCCGATGTCTTTTACCGATTGATCTATTAAGATACTCAGTATACAAATAATGACGACACCTCTATTAGATAGACCAACCTAATTCATCCTCTTTTGACTGCTTTTAGCAACCATATAAACATGTTTGGGCTGGGTATTTTTCAATGTAGGGTATCTGAAAGTTGATTTTGATATTCGCTTTTTTTCAGACACGAACCCGGCTGTAAGAGAGGAAAGACGGAGAACTATAGAAAAAGCTTATTTGGTTAAGCGAAATAACGTGTGCCAATATATATTCGGCCGGCTTTTTTGCCAACATTTGTCACTTGTGACGCCTTCCAATTGAACGATGAGTGTATCGCATAACAGTCGTTCAAGTTTTGGTTCATAGTTGTGAAATGTGACTCTCAAAGACAAACGGTATTCGTAGGCTTATGTTGTCGAAGTATTACTCATATGTATTGAGAGCATCGAGTTAACAACTTTAAGTCTAGACGCAAGGTAATAGAAATAACAAGTGGGTTGGCAAGACTACATCTTCACCAACTATGGAGATTAAAACACCCATTACATATCCATGACTAACACATACCTCAATGCGTGGTCTCTTGGTTCAGGGGCGGGTTAGAAGAAAACTAGGTTAGCCAAACCAATAGGTAGCATCAGTCCACGAAGTCATTTGCTGCTGGTCTAAACTGTGTAGGTAGATTTGCACTGTCGACTATCGTAATTGATGGTTGGAGAAATCAGATGACATAGCTTAGAATTAGTTACTTTGGTGCAGACCAACTCACTTTTTCCTTAAAATCCAGACTTAAAGTTATGTTTTATTTCAAGTCTTTTTTTAATCATATTGCCTGTGTCTAATCCTTCTTACTGCCACTGAATGTTATTGTTTTTACTATGGGATATTTCTTGACGATTTCATGTCTGATAATTGGATATGACGTTGTGAACCAATTTATATATAAACCAGATTATGCCCGACGTGGAACTATATGGGTGAGTAAATCAAGATATAGAAATGTACATGAGAATGGATATGGCCTGCCACCAAAGCATCAATCTGGACAAAAATAGATTTTCCCGGAGCTTAGTATTATCGCAAATCTATTGAAATTTACGCAATTAATCAGTTAAATCCTGCGGAATCCATTTATCGCTTTCAGTCCACAATATGGCTTTAAATCTTGTCTATATTTTCAGCTAGGTTGATCAGTAATAGTAAAGTAACCTAGTACGTCGACCACGTAGCTTACTTTAAGGTCTCGTCTTCCACGTTTGGCTGTTGGTTGACAAATTACTAGCACGGGTTCAGGAAGTTCTCATGCCTGTCACCGGCCTGAATCACCTGTGAAATAAAAGAAACATCTACCGGCCAAATAGGGGTTAAAGGTACTGCTCAACAGTCCGCTTAGTTGTAAAACATGATCTTCAGATATAAAAAACATGCTTTTACTTTTGCTCTATATATGTATTCTGTTCAGAAAATTTCGTAATCTTTCAACTTTCTTCCTATTCTTCAGCTTCTGTAGCTTATGATGTAAAATAAAATGATCACATAGTAAATTGCAGAATATTTTCAAAGATATCCTCAAACTTCGTATATCAGTCGACCTGATAATAATTATTGCAAAGATCCCAAAGTGTATAACTTTCGGAAGGCAATACAAAGTCGTCGTAGTAGATTTTTCAACATAGAATAAAGCAAACAATCAACAGACACACGATGAGAAGAATAAGTTGACAAATAAATTAATTAATCACATGAGCAAATATATAAAAGCATGCGAATAAATCATCAAGCGTTTTAAAAAATCAATATTTAAACGAGTTAGAGGAGTATATGCATGGGTTGTTTCATGTAATCAGTCATACGTTTTTATATAAGCATGGAAGTATGTGTTTGGAGAAGTAGCCAGACTATTTGTTAAGTAAGCTAAACATGCTGACGAATCTAAAAATATCTAGGCTCGAGTGGAGGTGTTTATTTATTTATTTATTTATTTCAACACATAGATAATGGTACAAAGAGGCACCAAATACATATGCGCCACACAAATCTCATCCGATATGTGTGAGGGCTGTGATACTGCCCGGGTGCCCAAACCGAAGCAAGTGGTTTTCTGAGGGGGCCACACCCCGAGCCTTCAACCCAAAGGTCTGATCCACAAGGCAGTGGAGCATCGTAAGGAGATGCAGTCCCATGGAAGCCGGTGGCCAACAATTGGTTCATTCGCCATTTGTTCCCGCAGGATACTGGAGCCCATGTGCACCATTGGTTTGGAATCCGGTTAAAGCGCCGGACATTCGCTTTTCGTCCTCTCATTTTCGTAAATAACACCCCCGCCACGAGAAGGCAGTGAGTAGGACTTCCCTGGCAGAGGCTATATACGCGTGGCCGTGTGAGAGTATTTCGAGAGGGAGAGCGGACTCTCCCCACTCTCGGCCGTACCAGGGCATTTGGGGGCGAGTGTGCTATAAATTTCAGTACCTGTGTATTGACAAGGGGCTTGGAAATAATCCCTCGAGTCAGACTTGTGGCCTGACTACACATAGCGACTAAAGCATTTGGTTTTGGAACATTGCATCCTAGACCTTAGTCCCACTATATTTTTTAAAGTTCAGGATTTCACTTAGTATCATCATTTTTAAGAATATCATTAGTTTATCTCTTGGTGAATAAACCTCTTCTTGATTGCTGACCTGTACTATCTTAAAGTTACCCACATAAGTAAGCTGTTTTGCCAGTAGTATATAACAGTAATCTACGTATTTGTTTTCATGGTAGATATATTACGAGGAGTTTCACTCTATTATAATGTCAGAGGATAGTGATTTTAAAATTTTGGATTACTTGCATATGCAACTGAAGCCTGGATGGACCAAAACGGGAATAACTGAATTTCTGAATGAAGCAGAAAAGCGCGAAGTTTTATACACAAGAGCCCGTAGAGATGATATGGAGAAAGCAATCGCTCAATTTAGAAGTTCTGCTTTGAATTTCATCGCCAGACTACCGACTGAGATACGAAGTAAACCTTACTTTGATTGTATCAACCAGTATAATGGGGCTAGAGGAGCAAATGTAAGTTGTACTCAAAGTAGTACTATGTGGAAGTTTTGATTTCAGTAATGGTACGGTATCCCGTAGTATGTTTTTTATAGTCTGCTTTACGGTCTGCTAGGGTTTTAAGATCGGTTTATGATTGAGCTATTAAAAATCAGCTCTCGCTGTTGCACTAATGTATTTCCTGCTGTAGAATTTGTCCCAAAATTAAAAAAAATCTGCTTAATAAACCCACTACTTCATAAATCTCTAAAATAAGTTTTTTCTGCACTGAGAAATGATACTGTTGATCATCGTGGATATGTAGAGGCTGAACCTATTTGTAACTAATCACTATTTCACTTTACCAAGTAACCTCTAGGCATTAAGCTTTTAATGATTCCGTAATATATCCAAGTCCCGCTGAACATACTTTCTTATTTTTTGTGGTGTTACTAGTTGTTGCACTGAGAGAGTATTTTCAAACAAAGCACTCAAACATGTATTTTGTTACAAAGTAGAATTAATAAGCGAAGTTTTTTTTTCAGGAAAGACCGTTAATGATCGAATGCATGTACTTCTAGCTACCTTTACCCATTTTTTAACTTTCTGTTTCTGCAACTGACAGTAACATTCGAATAATTTTGGTTTTGAAGGCATCCATGTTCAAATACTTAACATATTTAGTGTTCATTTTAAACCCTCATGTCTCGGCCATTAAACTACGAAAACAACTGATTATTTTAAACACGGTATGTCATTAGTGTCATAAATAATCCGTGCTTTTTAAACACTAAACGAGTTATCTATATTGCAGCTTTTTGTGTAACAACGCATTCGAAGGTCAACTTGACTTATGGGATTTTTAAGACCCAGGAGGTAATAGCTATATGACTACTCCCTGTTTTTCTTAGTCAACAATTTTAGATAAAAGACTTGCAGATAAACCAATATCTGTGTAATGTTTACAAGATCTGCATCATTGTCTAAGTTGTGTTTAAGTAGTATCTAACTTCATAGATTGGAATTTCGGGAAGTAGTTATCCCTATAATATTCAAATACATAAACTAAGGTTACAGTATTTTGGTTTTTTGTAATCTTTTATCTGAGATTAACACAAACAGCTTTTGTAAATGTCATGCAAAACAACTTTATTAGAATTAATATCTTTTAAATATCCATATCGACATAATATACTTTCGTTTACATTTATGTTATTGCATTAGTTACTTGACCAGTTGGTGTCTGAGGTAAAAAAGCGTAGTCGAATAGAATGGGAGGATTCTGTAAAGAATCGTACTGGAAAAAGACCATGTAGAGGACATACTACAAGTAATTGTCGAAGTGACAAGACATCTCAAGCATCCACTAATCCACAGTTGTCACAATGGCCGTCTATGCCATTTATTTCGGAAGATGGAGAGTTAACAAATATTAATGATGTCGGTCAAGTTCCAACTCTAAATTCTTCTCAGGTACTTCTCGTTACTGTAGTTATTTATTGTCGATTGTTTAATTATTTTTATGTTATCTAGTTCATATTGTGTAAACACAGTTCTAAAAATACAACTACTTAGCTTCTTTCCTATACCTAAGCATTTCCGCAGTGATGTCCTTGGCAACATTTTAACGATAATTAGAGTTGAGACTGTTTGTGGAATTCAAGATAGATGTTTAGTCCAGCTTGTGATTATTGTATAATCATCTTACTCAGTAATTTGCCAAACGAGTAAATGACAGTTTGAAGCTTGTACCTAATGCACACCAAATCAAAGTATTTTTTGTGAATTATCATTCCTAAATCTGATAGTAAATTATAATTATCGTACAGTCCTTAAAAGAACGACACTCTATTTCGTATGGCGTTGACGATCTTTTCAGGTGCACCATAGTGTCGAGGAAAATTCCATAAGGCTCTCCTATCCACACTGTCAAATGTCTTCTCATAGTCAAGGAACTCGATGTGTAGTGACAAATTCCATTCAATTGATTGTTTAACAATGATCCATAGTGTCGCAGTTCGGTCTAAGCACGACCGACCTTATGGAGTCCAGCTTGTTGATGCCGGAGTTGGGCGTCTACCGAATCCTTCATTTAGTCCGAAAACACTCCGTTGAACACTTTTCCTGGCACTGACAGTAGCGTGATTCCTCCGCAATTCTCAGACCTACCCGGATCTCCTTTCTTTGGCATCTATATGAGATATCTTTCTTTCCAGTCTGTCGGCACTTGTTCTTCCTCCCAAATATTTCTGAATAGAATGTAGAACATCCTTGAAGTTACCTGTATGTTTGAATTTGGTGTTTCAGCTGGTATGTTGTCTTCTCCTGATGCTTTTCCACTCTTGATTTGTTTGACATCCATGCTGATTTCTTCAGTCGTTGGTGGAGTGACAACTGTTCATTGGGTTCAATATGGCTGGCCTATTCAAGAGTTCCTCGAAGTATCCTACCCATCTGTTGCTCTGTTCTGAATCTCAGTGATTGGCTTGCGTTCTTTGTCTTTGACCAGTTTCTCTGGTTTACTATATTTTCCTATCAATTTCTTTGTCGTGTCATATAGTTATTTCATATTTCTTTCTGTTGCATCTTTTTTCCACTGTCGTGGCCAGGTCTTCCACATATTTCTGCTTGTCGGACCTGATGCTCTTCTTCACTCTGTTGTTTTTTTCTGTATCTTCGGCGTATTCCTTGACGTTCTCTGTTCGACTGTTGCTGATTAGTGTCTTCTTGCTCTCCCTTTCTTGAATCTTGTCCAAGCATCATCCGTATGATGATGATGCTTGTTGCAGCCCAGCACATCTTGACACGTTGAAGTGCCACCTATAACCATTTTGTTAAATGCACATAAATTTGCAAATCTCTCACCATTTTCATGCCTTTTTCCCAATTCATGTCGTTCTATGATATCTTCATATCCGATGTTATCCGCTCCCACCATGGCGTTTAGGTCTCCTATCAGGATGGTTGTGTCATTTTCTGGACATGTCTCTACGGCGGACTTCAATTTCATAAAACTGATCTTTATCGTCTTCATTGCTATAATTGGTGGGTGTATAGTACTGCATTACATAAGACTCCTATCGTATAAGTGCTCTTAGTGTTTTTTTTTTGGAAAACATCAGAGCAACTCCTTTCGTGTATGAGGCATTTTATTCTTCATGAGCAATGTAAAACAGCATCTGTCCCCAATCTAATCCTTTTTGTCTAGTTTAGGTCTAATAGGTTTCACTTATCCCAAGCACCGCCAAGATTTATCTCTTTATTTCCACAGCTATTTGGTCGGTCCTTCTGGTTTCCCACACTGTCCGGACCATTCCATGTACCTATATTAATTGTTGCTCTGATTGTCAGAAGGGAGATTGTCCTCGTGATTTTTGAAAAATTTCGACTTTCGCCATGAGGCATAATAATTTTTGTGAATGAAAATCCTTCAACTTCAAGGGCGAGATTTAAGTGATTTTTTTCTAATTAGCGTTCCTCTAGCGAGGTTTTTTCTACGGGATGGGTTGGTGACCTAATGCCCGATTCTAAAAGAGCTACATACGGAGTTTGAGTTTATATGTGTGAATCCCTTACCCTATTCATCACATGTCTTTAGCTTAACTGCCTGGTTATGAATAGTTAGTTACACTTTTTCAAATGAAGTTGGGACGCTTGCTTTCTCTGCCTCGCTTCTTATTTTAGTATGTCTGAGTAAACGAGTGACTGAAGTCAATTCATCTTGCTTAATCCGTATGTGGCTTCCTATTACTGCCGTCGGTCAAACAGGTTTAGCCTATGTGTAGTATATGGAGTCAGACGGAAGGTTTATATCTATCCGTTCGTCCAAAACGTAGACTGCGGAACGCTAAAGTGGTGAACCACTAGAAAGTAAGCGTCAGGGGTTGTGAAGGAACCTGGATACATCACGGAAACTCAGTGTTTATTAACGCTACCTTCCGAAACTTTTCATACAAAAACCGTAAAGCCAATCAGACCAGGAGACATGAATAAAGGGATGCGAAGATGCATTTGAATAATGGTTGATTCTCCGAGGTGTGTGTATTCCAATATGACTAGTTCCAAGAGATGCGCAGCACATCATACCCAAACGTTATCTGGAGTGTATGCTTGACCGAGCGCCTTCAGCCAACAGTGTGCCCAGTAAAACTAATCGGGTCAACACAGACACCGAAGACTTATAAAACTAATTATTTTGTAGACCTTTTTACTGCTACTCCACGCTCTCTAGTGAGGGCCCTGATACGTTACCAGTCAGAAGCTTATATTTAATGAGCTTGTTGTTAGTAAACACTCGATAGCTTGCTATGTCCAGAAGCGTTTGGTCGTTTGTCCCCACTCTAGGAAGTCATGGGGTCAATGATGAAAATGTACAGAAATAAGTGACTTGATTCTCTAAATTCGTCTTCGTTTCTTCATCTTTTTCAGTCGTCCTGGGTGATAAAGTAATGGTAATGTAAGTGCCCAATACGCATACCTTCAGAAACAACAACCTGCAAATTCACCCCCTTATGGTATACCTTACGTCAGCTAATAGAATCTAATATTACAATAAATGCCTACATGGGATATCGTAGTCAGTGCAAATCCACACCATGTTATTATTACTGACCTAACGATGCTATAGTTTCACGTTCTAGAGGGACAGTTGATTTGAGAAATTTTGCATCTTTTCATTATAAATAATATTTTATTTGTTATCAGTCCAGTGTTATTTATTCTTGTTTTTACTTCTGACTAGATGAAATCTGGTAGTAGAAAACGGTTACCAATTGCTTCGACACCAAAAGTTACTGAACTTGAAGGATTCATCCCTCCATCTACTACTTATCGAGTAACTCGATCACATGCGATCAATAACCAAAGTTCACGTACATATAAAATGAATACAACTCGTGTAACTAACACTAATAAAAATCATTATACAACAACTGATGATACTTTAACCACTATGGATAAAACTTTACGACCTAATTCTACACAAAAATTATCTAAAGAAATGAGAGTAAGATTATTTTCATAACAGTTTATAGTCAATATTTATATTATAGTTTTAATTATCCACTCAGAAACAATAAACATATTTATTTTCCTAACTGTAGACCTATTGGATACGGACAGATAAATGGTAATAGGATAGTCCCCGAATGCCCTGGTACGGTCGAGAGTGAGAAGAATCCGCTCTCCCTTTCGAAATGCTCTCACATGGCCACGCGTATATAGCCTCTGACAGGGAAGTCCTACTCATTGACTTCTCGCACCATTACTGTTGTTTACGAAATTCAGAGGACGAAAAGCGAATGTCCGGCGCTTTAACTGGGTTGGAGGACATGGAGAGTCCACCTAGGGGAGTTGGAAAACCCTGATTTTAAACCAATAATGCAAATGGGCTCCAGTATCCTGAAGGAACAAATGGCGTATGAACCAATCGTTGGTCACCTACTACCATGGGACTGCATCTCCTTACGATGCTCCACTGTCTTGTGGGTCAGACCTTCAGGTCGAAGGCTCCGGATGTGGCCTCCTAAGAAAACCACCTGCTTCGGTTTGGGCACCCGGGCAGTATCACAGCCCTCACAAATATCAAATAAGATCTGTGTGGCTCATATGTATTTGGTTCCTCCTTGTACCAATATCTATGTGTTAAAATAAATAAAAGTCAGACAATTCCATTCATTTAAAGATTAAAAACAATGTATAAATTCTAGTAATTTCAGTTGTGAGAGTGAAACATTAGGGATTTAAATGTATCAAACTTATTAGTCAAAGATACAAAACTAATATTAGTAAACTACTTTTTTCCTTAGATATAAACTAAAACTGTAAAATTACGCTCCTCTGTCAGTTATAGACTTCGACTTTATATAACTATTTATCAAGACAAGATAATGTGAATACCTTATCTACTGCAATAAAACAGTTAATAAACGTTTTCGATAGACAAATACGAAGATATTTAGTCACACTTTTCATATGTAAAATTATTAATAGTAGTGGGTATTAGTACGGGGTTCGTAACAGTTTATCACAATAAAGTGATATGTCCGATAGAATACCTAATGCTCCTATTAATATCTTCAGATTTTGACCAAATTAGTCGCGACAATCTATGTCCCCTTAAGATCATCCAAACAACGATCTAGTTAACGTTAGATTAGTTTCTTCTCATGTAATCAAGTGTGTAAACTTACGTTTAGTTTCTAAACTTCAGTCTTTATATGATTCCAGTGAAATAAGAGAGAGCTTAATTAAATTCACATATTTTGAATAAGCATAATATGCCCAATATAGCTCGATTGATTCATCACGATAGCCAAGCCCATAGCTCAGGATCGATCACAACGGCGTAGGTGTATACACTCCCTGTCTTCCCTTAAACTACGATATTAAAATCACTTCATATCTTTCTCTCTACGAATTAATTCTTCCTTCCTGTACTATATCCTTATATGGAATCTTTCCCCTATATATTACCACCAGTGAATTAACTAATTCTATGAATTCGGTGTTCATTTTGCTGTGCTAATGAGTTATGGTAACTTGGACCGATGCATATGTGCCTGGTCCTGGATTACTATTTGTGAAGAACGTCAAGTAGTTATTTTCTGTTAAAAGCATAGTATGTATATATAATGCTAAACGCAACTACTTTTTTATAGTAGAAGTGAATAACTCTTCTGTCAATATTTGTAAATTGCTTTTTTATCCCGGTTAATAGGATAAATTATTATTGAAGATTGATCGTAACAATATACAGCTATCATTACAGGAAGCACAGCATCTACGTAATCTTATTGTAATACTTCAAGATGCATTGAACCGTTATATTCAATTAAAAAGGAAATGAAAAAGCAAGTCAATGCTTGACGCAAACTTGTCTGTTTTATAACTTTTTGCAATCAATAACTTGTCTAGATTTCATAATTGTAAAGAAAATATAATAATTTAGTTGTGTTAATCTTATTATTCTTTGTTTACTGATGTATATATGATAAAGTCTAACTACGATACTCAACTAATATTTTGTTCAGATATTTACTAAATTAAAGGTTTATTACAAAATTGTCTGGGATATGAACCACTAATTGGCGCGATATCGTGTCGTATTTAGTTGATCGACAGAGGATTCTAATCCGATGCTACAATCTCAATGATACTGTAAATTCACGAACCTCCTGCTTACAAACATCTGTTTTTTACAACGACTTACAAGGTTGCCATTGAGGTGTAATAAGCCCATGATAAACACTAAATACGATAGTAACTCTTTTGAATGGCTACCTCTAATATTAGCTTTATTAGCAACGTGTTAATAAACTCCATAATGACATTATTTTCACCTTAAAGTTGCTTGTAGCCTAGAAACTACTTTTCTATCGTACAAGCCGTACTTGCTTTGGGATATTATGAAGCACGATTAAAAAATACACAGTTGGGATTTACCAACTTTAAATTTCTACGCAGAAACATGGCGACATCGTACCATTTCCTTTTATATACCTTTTGTATTGGATGTGATTATCGAAGATATAGTAGGATATTACCGCTGTTTCGTTATAATCATAAAGTTTTTAGTAGGGCATACAAATCAGCTTCAGAGGTAAATGGCTTTATTTTTTACAGACACTTCAAACATGGGTTGAATGTTGTTAAACACATACCTAGACGACATATAGGTGAATATACAACTGGAATGGCTGAGACATATATTATGCATGTCTAAGTCAACGTACCACTTTGTTTGGCATGGGAGTGAGTTGAGAAACAACTAAGGACGATCAAACTCAGATGTGGCATCAATCCATGAAGTTACTGGTTGTTGAATCGGACAGTGTATGTGGGTACAGACTACATAGCTTAAGGTCCGCTTGATCAATTACTGAAAACAAGTGACATGATCTATAACCAGTTATATTGGTGCTGATGCATTCACTCTTTATCTCCTTTCAAGTATCTAGTTTTAGTATTCCTTCATTAATACCTATTTATTTTGTCATCTATGACAAATAGTCATAGCTCAAATCAATCGCAAAGTGCATCCGATTTCAGTTTTTTAATTACTGTGCTCCGCAGCTGTTGCTTATTTTTCCAGTTGTATCAAGATGTGGTGAATTCAATTATACCGAGTTCTAAATTGTTTAGTTTGTCGTAAAATTGTCAGATTATGGTTTGACTTTTTTCATTTCAGTCTTGCTTTAGACAATATTGTATTTAGGATGGTGAAAAGCTAAGCTATGCGCTGTTCATATTCCGATTTTGGTTGGCAACTTAACTCCTTTAGTCTTCATCCTTATTATATCTAAGTACTGATCCCCTAAAAGGCTACCATGAACTCAAGCGTCATCAAACACCATCGTTAACAATGAGTCGACAGTTTTCGTATTTGTATTCAAATCTCAACTCTAGGTTATTCCATTTAAACACGAACAGATTACCAGTTTATTTTAATGTTTGGATTTAGTACCCATCAAACTTTCCTTTTTCCCACTCAACATTAAATGGTTAAAATTTGACCTTATTGCAGTGCTGTAATTGTTTTTCTCACCGCTAATGGGTAAGAATTCGTTACACAGAATCAGGTTTACAACTACAATGGCTAAACAGTTGTCCTATAGTAGATACTGAGAGATTGAAATGACTAGCAACCATCCGATAATGGGTGCTAGAGTCGTAATAGTACATGGGATTTTAACTAATCTATGTAATCTGCAGAAACACTCAACTGTGTATGCAAGCGAAGTAGTAGGACGAAGTTACTCATCCGTCAATTTAATAACCAATGATGAGTATAAAGGAATTCTGTCTTGTAGTCAAACATAAGTTGTTTTTAATAACTCCATGTACTAAAATGAAATTTTGGCTACACACATGTTTTAGACTTAAAATATGTGACAAGATGCTGATCGATCGTTGAGGTAAAACGTACATAAAAACACTAATTTACCTGTATAGGTATTCCTGTAGTTAGAAATAAGTGAAATCACTTAAACACTTAACAACCTCTGGTGGGATTGCAGAGGACACTTGCAGCTGAGTAGAATGATTTTGGTGACTTGTAAGAACCTGAATAAAACTTGTGGTTACGCTTCGACAACTAAATTAAAAGTATTCAATAATAAATTTATTTAAAAAAGCACGAATCAAATACACTAAAAGTAGATATTTACAATAACTGCATGTACAAGAGTCATACTATCTCGTGTAATATCATCGGTATTAAAGGGTGACCAATTTTTAGTGTCACAAGTCGATAATGTAATTGTAACAAAATTTATGTACAGTGACAATTTTCGATGAGCTTAGCGGGATGGTCTTGGTGGACTAGGGGGCTCCGCCTTAATGGAAACTTTGCGCGGTGGGGAAGGACTTGGGTTGCGTAAGCGTCTCGGAGAGTTCCTTTGACTAATATCTTCCCTTTTTGTTTCTGAATGGGGTTCTCTGTTTTCCCTAAGCCTTGGCTCTCGATTCTCTCTATGTCTTGACTCTCCATTTTCTCTAGATCTTGACTCTGGATTATGACGTTTCTCCCGACCATTCCGCTTCTGAATAGCTTTAAGGCGTTGTTTCTCTGCCTCGTCTTGTTCCTGTTGAATTTTCTTCAGTTGTTTCATCACTTCTGGACCACATCCATGCTCTTTAACAAATTCCGAAACAGAGTCAGTAGGTCGTTTGTACTCTGGCTTTTTATCCGTATGTCCAACATCAAGAACTCCGTCCTTTGGTACTCGATATTTTTCGACATGGTCTACTCGAATTATACGACCTCCTAATTTTATTCCATTCAAATTATCAGTAGCTAGAACAGTACTTCTTTGATCTTCATAACACACAAATGCAAATCCCTTTGACACACCTGTCTTTTTATCCCGAACTAAATTGATATTAACAATCTCACCATACTGAGAAAAAACACAAATAACATCACCTTCAGTGAGATCGTAATGTAAACCACCCACATAGATCCAAGCCGAATCTTTGTATTGTCTATGCCAACTGCTAACTGTCCCTGTGTGACCGAGCGATAACTCCTTTTCATTCATTAAATTCTGATTCTTGGCATTCGTAATTGGATTCATTGTGGAACCGTTCTATCTAGAATAATATTGTAAGAAATAAATAGGTAGACAAAGAGAGGGTTATTTTACAATCAGTGTCAGTCATCAAAAACGTAGAACTTCGTACATACGTACACCAGTTCGAATTGCCATACCATATTAGTAAAGAGGTTTTTTTATATTTTAATACAGATATTGGTACAAGGAGGCACCAAATACATATGCGCCACACAAATCTCATTTGATATGCGTGAGGGTTGTAATACTGCCCGGGTGCCCAAACGTAAGAAGGCAGTACAGAGATACAATTGTCCATTCAAATCCCGTAGTGGTAGAGGTAGTAAGAGTATAAGCAGTAATCGGAAAGATTAGGGCTTGGAGATGTTATTCAAGGAGTATAATCCAATGAAATAAAATTGGGAAGAGAAAAATAGAGACAAGGAGAATTCAGAAGATTAGGATTTGAGAGGACACAAAGAGTGGATACACCTGCGCCATTGCAAACGATTTTCAGCCATTTCATTCAGGGTTTCTAACCATCGGTTGCTATCGTCTCGCGGATCCCAACTAGGTAGTCTACACCTACCAACATGGCTCAGTCCACTTGTCAGTGACTTCATGGACTTGTGCCATGTTTTGGTCTGGCCACCGCTAGATTTCTTCCAATCTACTCCTATACAACAAAACATCGCACATCGAGGCAATCGGTGGTTGGGCATACGTAACACATGTCCCAGCCATCTCAACTGGTGAAGTTTCACTACTTCATCAATTGATTTGCCATCCTTACCTAGTACCCGTTTCCTAACAACTGCATTGCTTACTCAGTGGTCCCAGGATATACGAGCAATGCTTCGAAGACACCTATGATCGAACACTAGTAACCTACGAATATCCTCTACTCTTACCGGCCGTTTCATTGCCATAAAGTAGGACGAGACGAACTGTTTCACAGTAAACCCGTCCTTTGGTTGATAGACGGATATCTCACCTACGCCTACCATTCTAGTGTATTAAATAATAATAAAAAGTTGTTGTCAGGCCAGATGTTGTGTTGGTAAAGTTGGTTTGGCAGAGATAACTAGATTTACAGTAATGTTAATTTAAAACTGACTTAGTACTGTAAATTTTGACGCTGGACTTAGAATACTACACAAAGTTTGACCTTACTGTGTACCCTAAAACTAAATTTAAACGGAACTAATGCAGTGATCAAATTGGAACAAACATCACTTCCAAACAAATTCACTGACAACACAAAGAGTTAGATATTCCGAAATATTTCCTTATGGATTATTTAATCTTGTGTTTATAATTAACAGGATATATTATTCAAGTGCAGATTGATGACCTAGACTTTTATGCTACCTGATTACCTAAACCAAAGATAAAAATGTTTGAACGTGTGAACCGGTTGTGCCAGGTACTTTAGGAACTAAGCATTAACTTTACTTCAAGTTCTAGAAAGCTTATTTGCCCTCAAATTCTGGTGTTGGTGATACAAAGTGTGCGGCAGTAACCCCATATTTTATGAAATTCGACAAAATAAGTTCTTACCAACCAAATGCAAAATATTCACAAGTCATATGTAACTGGTCCTTTAAATTTTTCGTTTTATCTACACTGCAGGGATTTAGTTATGTTTCACAACTGCTTTACAGTATGATGTGTACTTTGAAGCTGACCACTGAAAATTCTACTTGACCGAATAAATGCAGCTCACGCAGGCTGTACGATAATAGAGATCCAGAAACACGATACCCAAAGGAAAGCTTACCACAATGAGGATCTGATGTGTATATGTTTGCAACTCTCATTCATCGTCAGAATCTTACACGCTATAAATATTTGGAACAAATAGTGCCAA